CCTCACAAGAGTCTCATTCTTCATGACTCCTAAAGGCCCATGTAGCCTAGAATTACTGTCCATTCTTTTCCAACTCACCTGTCCCTCTTTTATTTCCCAAATTGCTCCATAAGCACCCTCCTCCAGGAAGTGTCTCTTGACCAATACCTCTCTCTCAGTTTCTACTCATACCTTCCTTCCTAGAGTAATGACTTCTCAATCTCTATTCAGTTACTAATTATTCCTATTTCATTCCATTCTTTTCCCCATTTGGGGTGTAAATTCTCTCCCCAAAGGATCTTATCTGCTTTCACAAGGTTTTTGCACCAGTCTCTCACAAATGCATCTAAAGGAGTGGTTAAGTATATGGGTAATCCTGCCTCTATCAGGCTTCCCTGGAGTCACCCACTCCCTGTTGGGAACATGAAAAATTCCACAAGTAAGAAAGTAGCTTCCTAGTCTTCCCTCCCAGGGCGGACCTTATACATAAATACAATGGAAAAACACCAGCCCTCCTACACCAAACATAAAACTCTCACTTCTTCAAGAGAGATGTCTATTGTGCCCACTCTGGACCCCATCTCATCTTCAGAGAGTCTCTGGATGTAGGCAGATTAGAAGGGCTGTCTATCAGTTTCCAACTTCAGGCTACCCACAAAACCCCATCTATGAGGATAGATGGAATTGGACCAATGAAAGTCTTGTCAAGCATTGTCCTGCTGTATTAACTCTGTTGCTCTTTGAATGGACAGCAATGTTTTTGCTGTTGGGTTTAGAGGAAAGGGAGAACCTACTCAATGCTTTGAGCAAGAGTCCACTCTGATGCAACAGTCACACTAGATACTAGAAATCAGGCATAGCCACACAAAGGCAAAACTAGAAATGTCTTGGTACAATTCTAGATACTGGGTACAGATCTAGATACACATCAAGATATAGTTTCAGATGGAGAGAATTTTTTCCTTGTTTTGCCAAGGAAATCTCCCAGGATATGGTTTTAAAGGAGTAGCACGGTGCTGGCCTGAAACACGGGAGAATTTTCTATACCAAAGCAATGTTTAAGGCTCAATTCAATTTAGCATCAATTTCTTAGATTCTCATTATGTGCCTGGTCCCCAGCTGAGTGCTCTGGGAGCGTTAATTAGATATTCTCCTTACCTAAATCTATAATCTAGGAGCAAAATAAAGAAAATAAAGACACATAGATAACTGTGGTATCTTATTATTTTTATTTTAGCTTTATTGAGGTATAATTGACATATAAAATTGTAAGATATTTAAACTATACATTCTGGTGATTTCATAAACATATACATTTAGAAGTGATTCACTATGATTTCTCCACTGTGAAAGGATTAACCATAGAATTTTAATCTAAATATTTGATTAAATGAAGGTAAGTGTTCCAAGGGTGCCTTTGTTTCCCTCACTTATCTTTGCATATGGAGGACACTCATCTGGAGCTTTGCTTTTCAAAGCATGGTCCCTGGACCAGCAGCATCAGCATCACCTGGGAACTGTTAGAAGTACAAGTTTTGAGCTCCACTCAGACCTCCTGAATTCCAAATGCTGGGGGCAGGATCCAGCAATCTGTTTTCACAAGTCTTCCAAGTGAGGTGACATCTGGTAAAGTTTTGTATGACTGAGCACTATTCCTGGCTTCTCTCCAGGACTCCCCTCACTATAACTCGGGTTGAAGAAATAGCACTAAGTGTGCCCAGAAGAGCCCCTTCCAGGTTTTTTGTTGTTGTTGTTGTTGGTTTACTTTTCTATTCAGGTTCTCTGTGCCCAAAGGATACATGCATTCCAACATGCTCATAAATGAGCAATCCAATAAAAGCAAGCTGTCTCCTATGGTGGGGAGCGGGGGTGCTCAACATTATTTGTGATGAAGAATAAATCTGTCCAATTTAGTGCTGCGGAATTAACAAGCCAATTAGGCAGCAGATCTAAAGTTGATGGTTTAATCATCTCTCTCTATGTCTTGATTATCAATTGGTTCCAAACATAGGAGGGAGAAATGGGGTGTTATTTATTGGCTCTCTACAGCTCCAACAGTGGGTTCTAGTGATAAATGGGCAGGATGCAGGTACAGATCACGTGCAGTAGAGAGACCTAGATGAGAGAATAACAGAAGAGCATAAGGCAATCCTAGGATTTTTTTAAGGACATAGAACTTTGCAAATTACTGTCCTGATCTCTCCTGTTTCAGATAAATAAGCGGAGCATGAAAGGAAATGAGCACTTGTTCAAGCTCACATTGCTGGTTAGTGGTGGAAACCAGACCAGAACCCAGGACACGTGGCTCTCACCTGTGCATATTTTGAGCAAGTGGGCCACAGTAGTAGACAACAGTAGAGAAACTTTCAAGCCAAGGATATAGATATCGCCAAGAATAACCAACCTCAGGGATTTTCAGCATGGGTAGTGGGCTCAAGGCCAAAGTGCTTTGTACTCAGAGGAAAGCTTTGGCTGCAACTCACCTCTGCATGCTCTGTTGCCCCCTCACACAGCCATGGCTAAAACTACACAGCTAGCTCAGTGTGCTCTGAACACTGCTTCATTTTCCTGTGCTTTTCCTGGTGGTGTTCTCTCTGCCTACAATCTCTCCCTGCTTTCCATGTGTGGCAACTTTCTCTATCTTTCCTTGGAGAAAGCCAACTCAAATGCCATTCCTCTACAAAGTCTTCTTTGATTTCACCCATCAACGCTCACCACTGTGCCAGCCACGAATGATCATCCTCCACTATGAATTCCCAAGATGTTTTATTCGCATGTTACTTATGACAACACTTTCTGCTTTGTGTTAGAACTATGTTTTACCTTTTGCATTAGAATATAAGCTTTTTATATTCTTTATTTTATATTCAGGGGCCATATTTCATCTCTTTTTTGCTCTTTTCCTAGTTTATTTTCGTATGACATATAATTAACATACATTGTCATTATATTACCCTCAGGTGTAGAATATAATGATTCAACAATCCTATCATTTCTCAGGTCTCATGAAGATAAGTATACTTAAAAAATCATTCATATATTTGAGAGAGCAAGTGTCAGTGCAGCAGGGAAGGAGCAGAGGGAAGGGACAAGTAGACTCTGCTGAACATAGAGCCCAAAGAGAGGCTTGATCTTTCAACCTTGAAATCATGACCTGAGCCAAAATCCAGAGCTGTATGCTTAACTGACTGAGCTACCCAGGAGTTCCAAGATAAGTGTACTCCTAATTCCTTTTATCTATTTCACTCATCCTCATGTCCACGTCCCCTTTGGCAGTCACCAGTTTGTTCCCTGTATTTAAGAGTCTGGGAAGTTTTTACTGTCTCTCTTTTTTTCTTTGTTTGCTCATTTCTTTTATTTCTTAAGTTCCACATAGGAGTGAAAAATATGGTATTCATCTTTCTGAGATTGACTTATTTTACTTAACATGATAAGTCTATTCTTTTTTGTTACAGAATGCAAAATTCAAGTTTTTTATGACTCAGTAAATTTCCAGTATGTGTGTGTATGTTTATGTGTCTCTGTGTGTATCACATCTTCTTTATCCATTCATTTATGGATGGACACTTGAGTTGCTTCCCAATCCTTATTATTATTAATAATGCTGCAATAAGAATTGGGGTGCATAGATTTTTTTCATGCAAATAAAGCTTTTGCACAGCAATAGAAACCATCAACAAAACACAAAGGCAAACTGGTAAATGATGGAAGATATTTGCAACCTATATATTTCATAAGGTGTTAATATCTAAAATATATAAAGAATTTACACAACACCAGAAAAACCAATAATCTGATTTAAAAATGGACAGAGGGGGATCCCTGGGTGGCGCAGCGGTTTGGCGCCTGCCTTTGGCCCAGGGCGCGATCCTGGAGACCCGGGATCGAATCCCACGTCGGGCTCCCGGTGCATGGAGCCTGCTTCTCCCTCTGCCTGTGTCTCTGCCTCTCTCTCTCTCTCTCTGTGACTATCATAAATAAATAAAAATTAAAAAAAAATAAAAAAAATGGACAGAGGATCTGAATAAACATTTTTTCATAGAAGACATACAAATGACCAACAGACACATGAAAAGGTGTTCAGCATCAGTAATCATGAGGGAAGTGCAAAATTAATACCACAAGGAGTGGGGCATCTGGTTGCCTAAGTCAGTTAAGTGTCTGACTCTTGGTTTCAGCTCAGGTCATGATCTTGGGGTTGTTGGATAGAGCCCCACATGGGACTCCACACTCAGAGGGGATTCCGCTGGAGAGTCCCTCTCTCCTTCTGCTACTTCCCCCTGTTTGTATATACTCTCTCTCAAAAAAAAAATAAATCTTTTAAAAAACTAACAAAACAATGAGATATTACTTTATGCCTCCCAGAATCACTAAAATAAAAAACACAAGAAACAACAAGTTGGCAAGAGTGTGAACAAAAGGCATCCTTCATGCACTGTTGGTAGGCATGTTAATTGGTGTAGCCACTGTGGAAAACAGTATGCAGATTCCTCAACAAATTGAAGTAGAATTACCATATGATTTTATACTACCATACTGTGTATTTACCCAAAGAAAACCAAACACTTTGTCTAGTTACTTTTAGTAATGATTGCTTTAAAGGCAGAAAGCAGCTACAGACATAATTGAAAAGTAGACAAGTAAAGAAAAATAAGTAGAAGCAATCCTACATTCCAACATAAAGACAGAATGGTGGAAGGGGAGGTGGGCAGGGGGTGGGGGTGAATAGGTGACGGGCACTGAGGGGGGCACTTGATGGGATGAGCACTGGGTGTTATTCTGTATGTTGGCAAATTGAACACCAATAAAAAATAAATTTATTATTTAAAAAAAAGACAGAATGGCTCTATTAACTTTTCTCCACCAATATCGCATGGGAGGCCTAGTTTTCCATGAGCTCAAGAGAACTCCCCATTATTATCCAGGGGACCTGACTGCATTCAGGTGTGATGATGTCCAAGCAAATGTGTACTGGCTCTGTTCAAGTCCAGGGCTACAGTTTTGGTGCTAACTCAGTGGAGTTAAGCAAGGCTGTGCTGCATCCCATAGCCAAAGTAGATAGCAAACCCAATCAGCATCCAGACACCAAATTGGGCCCAGGTGCCAGCTGGCATCTGCATCATAAGGTAAAAATTCAGAAAGATGCTCAGAAGTGGGAGGAGAGGCAGGCCAGGTACCTTAAAGTAAAGGGGAGTGGAGCTCTGTGGCTGCCTCCAGATGACCCCAGTGATCCCAGTGATGAGCACCAGGAGCAGGACAACCACTGTGATCCACCATGGGTCTCCAGAAAGCAGACCTGGCCACTGGGCCAGCACCAGGCAGAGAAGAGTCAGCAGCAGAGCAAGCAATGAGGAGCAAACAGAGACAATCAGGCCAGAGAGTGGAGTGGGGGTGGAGCTGTCTGGAAAAAATATTCGGTGTAGAGTCAGCTTCTCTGCTTCAGGTCCATTCTCCTGTTGCACCTGTGCTTCATTTCCCCATTCTTCCTCTCAGGCTGATACCTGAGGATGAGAACACTAAAAGCCACCAGGGAGTAATTCAACAGAGTTACAATTGACCGGAGGTCCACAAGATGAGTAAGTCCAAAGAAGACTGCCATGATTGTTGCAATAATGCCAAAGATCACAGTAGCCACCATGCGGGTGTATGTTCTAGTATGAATCCTGGCAAGGACAGGGAACAAGAGGCCGTCCTTTGCCATCATGTATAATTGATGACGTATAGGGACCATAAAGCCCAAGAGGCTGACAGAAAGACTACAGAGGAATCCAAAAGCTACAGCATAGTAGGCAGGGGCCCAGCCAATATGGAGAAATACCTCAGGCAAGGTGCTCCCGGGTCGGAGCTGGTAATAAGGCACCATAAGTGTAAGTGCTGCAGAGACACCAAAATACACTGAAATGCAGATGAGCAATGAAATCACAGTGCCCCTGGGGATAGAACACTTAGGATTCTGAGCTTCTTCAACTGTGGTAACAATATTGTCAAAACCTATAAAAGCATAGAAGCAGGTAGCTGCTCCACGGAGAATCCCCTGGAAGCCAAAAGGCACGAATCCTCCAGAGCCCAGAGGGCCCAAGCTAGAGGTGTCATTGAGTCCAGCCTTTATGTAGTCCTCTTCTGTGAGCTTCCAGTTGTGCAGGTCCCCCTTAATGAAACCAGACATGATGATAAAACTAAGAACCAAAACTTTCACTAATGTGAATGCTTTGGTGGCCAGGGAAAACTCAGTAATCCTCAGAGTCAGCAATCCGATGAGCAACAACACAAGGCCCACAACAAAGAAGTCTAGATATTCTGCAAAGACCCGAGGAACATGAGGTGAGATGCTCTCATGCAGGGCCTGAGAGATCTGGTTCCCAGGCAAGTTGTTAAAAGCTAAAGACCAGGCACAGGCCACAATGGTGGTACCAGCAACAAAGAACAAGATAAGATTCCAGCCAGTGATGAAAGCCCCAAGTTCACCTATAGTGACATAGATGTAGAGATATGCAGATCCAGATTGGGGAACTCGAGCACTAATCTCTGCATAGCAGAGCCCAGCCAACACAGAAGTTAGGCCAGCCACCAAAAAGCAGATCATGGTGGAAGGTCCTGCTTGACTGTTGGCCACTTCCCCAGCCAGGATATACACACCTACACCCACTGTGTTGCCCACACCGAGGGCCACTAAATCCATAGTGCTCAGGCTTCTGTCAGGGGCAATGTCAGTCACATCTTTCTTCAATGGACGTCTGCGCACCAGCTTGTTACCAAATATGTGAAGTGCCTGACACAGCATTCTGACTGAATTGAAGAGGTTTCTGGGATCAGTGCTGTAGAGAACCCAGGGAGCCAAATTCTCCAATCAGGTTCCGTGAAGCTAATTAAGCTGAGTTGGGTTAGGTCTGCTAAGTTCTGTTGCTCAGGCTTCAAAGCTGCTGCTTCATATTTCATCTGGTATGTGCTGTCCCACCATAATGCCTAGTAAGAAATAAATATTTCCTGAAAAGTAGTTTTCAACCAACCAACCAACCAAAGCTCAGAAGTCTAACGTCTTCTTCTGCAGCTCAGATATCACAGAAACTGACATCAAAGGACATGATAGGCAAATCAACCCTGCTTTCCCCCATAGAGAAAAGTGCTAAATACCTACATTTTCCTTTTTAAATCAACTATATAACATAATTGTTTTGGTTCATCTAACATATGTAGCTTCATATGCTAATTAAGCTATAAGACACAATAGGGCATGAATGTATTCTACAATAATTCACAAATGGGATGTGTGTACGGTACTTAGCCATGGTTATGACCCATTCATTCACCGGGTGGTGGGCATAATTGATTTGCAGAGACATTTTAAAATATCATCTGAGGCTAAAATACAAATTTAATCCCCCAGTCATAAATCCTTAGCCCCTATATCAACTAGCCAAGATCAGATGGCACTTTGTCCCCCTTTCTCCTCATACTGCATCATTCATTCAGCTGTCCTGGTGGCCAAGGATGTACAGTCCACTCCTTCCCTTTACTCACCTAGGACCACAAGGGTGCTGTGAACAGAGAGGAGAAGGGAGAAAGGGGCAGGGCCTTCATAACCCCCTGCAAGAAAGAGAGGACCAGGCTGCCTGAAAAGGAAACACTGCAGAAATGGGGGCAACAGCCACCCAAGGTCCAGGATTGAGAAGGGAGAAGAGCTTGGATGGTGGTTTTACAAATTCTGACATTCAGTAAACCTCACCCAAAGTGAGGAGGCAAAATTCCAAAATTCCAAAAAAAGTGGTAAAAAAAAAGTGGACAGTTTTTATGTCCACAGTTATGAGAATGTGATGTATAGGGAGAAAATAAATGAGTTACCAGCTCAGTAGCTCACAACATGAACAATTCCTTCTGTCTCCTTCCTCTCTGGGCTCCAGGAGAGAAGGTGAGCTCACTTCTGCAGACAATCTCTTCACTGGCCACACTGTGTTCTATACATACCCTGCGCCATCTGTGACATCAGCTACCAGGGGCCTGGAGAATCTACCCTGCTCTGTGAGCTTGTATTAAAACACGTACTTGTAACTGTCTATAATTTTTCACAGGGAATAATTTTTATCTCTCTCAAACTGTGGTCTCAATATGTTCAAATATATCTTCTTAATGAAGGAAATAAATGAAGGAAGAGCCCTGTCCCTTCCACATAACTACATGACCTCGGGGCATTTGTTCACTCCCTCTAAGCCTCAGTCTCCTCATCCACAAGGGCCCTCACCTGACCTTCCTCACTAGATCAGCATGAGAATTCAGTGAGAAGATACAAACCATCACAAATTGCTGGTGGTAGTCTCACTGTGTCACCATCCTGAAACATAATGTTAGTGAAATTAAGAATGTACACACCCTCCCACCCCACATCCCTCTAAGGTGCACACCCCAAGGAAACGCTCTCCTAAGTCTATAATGAGCCCATGTGAGCACATTCATCACAGGATGGTTTGTGGTGCCAGGATGTGGGAGCTATGCCAGTGTCTGTGGTAAAAGAAATATATAAATAAAATGTGCTATGTGTCCACAATGAGATATGACACAGTAGTCAGGGATTATAAGGTAGATTTATAGACAGTGTGCGTAGATCTCAGAAAAAAATGACAAGTAGGAGAAGTAAAGTAGAATGAGGCATATAGTTCAATGCCATTTGTACATTTTTACAAAAAGCCAAAAAATGCTGTATATTTGTCAAGGATACACATGCATCTATTTAAAAATGTCATGTCATTGGGATGCCTGGGTGGCTCAGTGGTTAAGCATCTGCCCTTGGCTCAGGGCATGATCCCTGGTCCAGGGATCAAGCCCCACATCGGTCTCCCTGAAAGGAGCCTGCTTCTCCCTCTGTCTATGTCTCTGCCTCTATGTGTCTCTCACAAATAAATAAAATCTTTAAAAAATACCATGTCATTACTCTGCTGAAAACCTTCATCTGATTTCCCTTTTTATTCAGAGTAGAAGCCAAAGTCTGAATTTACAATCACCTACAAAGTCCTACAGTATTTGTCACTGAAACAGCTACCTCTCAGCCTTCTGTTTCTCCTTCCACTCATTTCTCTCTAGCCACTGGCCTCCTAAACATTCTGGCCCCCTAACATTCCAGGAAGGACACTACTTCAGGGCCTTTGCCCCGGCTGTCCCCTATAATTGCACCACCTCTAGCCCAGATATCCACATGATTGCTCTTGGAACTACATTGGATAAAATAACACGTGTAGCCCAGGCTTCCTGATTCACCCCACATACAACTGCAACCTGCTCCTAACCACACATAACCGACATTATCCCCTGCCTATATTTTCCCATAGCATTTGTCACAATTTAAGGCACTATATGTTTTATTTACTTGTTTATGAGTTGTCTCACTCCAAAAGAATGTAAGCTCCATGAAAGCAAGACTTTCTGTTTTGCTCTTGGCTGTATTCCCTGCACCCTACAACTGTGCCTGACAGAGTTGGCTCTTTAGTGTTGAGTGAATGAATGTATCTAACTACATGTGTAAGAACATTTGTTAAATACACTACAGCAAGTGCCTGCAGGGAGGAGGGGGAAATGGAATAGAGATAAGGATGAGAGGGGGAAATTAAGTGCATTGATAAGGTGCCTGACAGGAAGTGATGGTGCTAACATGCCATTACTGAGGAAGGGGCTGACCCCACCCTGTGCATGGCAGGTTCAACATAGGAATTGCAGAGATAATGTTGTGAGAGGACCTGGTACAGACCTTGATAAATGGCAGGCACTCAAGAGACTTAAACTGAAAGGGAACTGGAATCCTGTAATCACCAGGATATCAAAGAAGGAATACCTACTAGAAAGAGGGTGAAGAATAGGGAAGACGAGGCATCCCCCTACTAGTTTCCTCTGAACCTATTTCTCTTTTCCCAACTCCTCTTCCTCCTTCAGCTTCTTCAACTGTCCAGGAGGCTCCTATATTTGGCACTAAGGATGCTTGTACCACGTTTCTCTCTCTGGGGAACTGTCCACAGCCACCTACCTCCCAACAAAGACACACCAGTAGTTCTTCACATTTGTTGAATCACAGGCCCCTCTGACGTTAGTCACCTCAGAAAGTCATACACTCTTCTTAAGTCCATCCATGGACCCCGCCGAATCCCAAAGGTGGACCATCTGAAAGGCAAGGTCAAAGAGGAGTAATGTTTTTGATAGTTTATGTTTCCCTCAACTGTGTTGTGCGGGGTGGTCCTTGTGCTTTTCCCATTTTTACTGAAGAGGAGGCAGAGAGGGCTACAGTCAAAGTATAGAGATACCAGTGGAATGACTCAAAGGAAAAAAACATCTGGGAACTAAATAACTATGTTTTATGACTCCAACAGAAGCAGGCTGAACAAACAAATGAATAACCGAACTTACAGAAGAGAAAGCAAACTAATTATTTGGAATCCTGAGAGAGATTAACACAAATCCAGCTTATAACAACTCAGAGATCATCATCCTCAAATACCATGTTCAGAAATGCCCTTTCTCCATGAAATAATCTGTGATTATTCCAATGGTTTATATTTAGTCCAAACTCTCTGACCCAGCTGTCAGAACTCCCTGCTCCACCCAAATCTCCCCCTACCCTCAGGCCCATCGCCTCTTTCCTAACTTAGCTCCTCACATCCTAACTTGCCTTTCCTGGGGAGCCTTTGGCCTGGGTAAGTTACCTGTCCTGCCAGGGTGGCCCTCCTCACCCCATCTGCCTCTCTTGACCCTTTAGCTCTTCTCAATCCTATTCTATGATTTTCTCCTTCCCCCACCCCATGTCTAGGAAGCCCTTCCTAAGCCATCTTAACTGATCTCCCTCTCCAACTCTTTCCCCTTCCTGCCAGAACTTATAACCTGTTCTGATGCTCACTTGAAACTAATTTCCCCTTTCTTTTTCCTGATGTGCAGGTGACTCAGTTAAATTCCTTTACATTCTAAAAGCTTCCAGAGGGCAGAGCCAGGATCCATATACCTCCTCCTCTTGATTTCTACACTCTCACCCCCAACTCTCACTACCCAGGTCAAATATTGCTCATGATTGTACCAAGTACGCAAAAGAGGCATTTTGCAGAGAGAAAATGAATATATAATATAGATTGACTACTATATCATAAGATTCCTAGAAGTAGGATTTTTTTTGTAAAGATAGAAAGGGCCAAACTCAGGTGTAAACAGGAGACCAGAAATGAAGAGTCGAGGCAAGAGAATGTCAACATCCCAGGTAGCTTCCCAGGTGATGAAACAAACACTTTCCAGTGTTGGCAAGACAATATCTTGTGCTCACCATTCGTCAGCCTGAGAAGACTGCATGAAAGAGAAAGGAATTACCCCATCCTGGCATTGTGTATAACTGCTTCTCAGAAACACATCAGTTCAGGTACATTTTCAGCTTGGGCCATTACCCAATAAACAGAGCCTGTTTAGGTCTTTCTTCCATCCCCCCGCCAGAAACATAAAAAACTTCACAGCAGTATCAACCAGCAAATACAGTTTGCCCTACTAGACATATCCAGTTAAATATTTGCTACAGATATTAATACATACACATACCTAGATACTAAGATGTAATAATACTAATATTAATACTAATACTTCTCAGTCTTGGCCTGTAGAGAAAACAAAGAGAGAAACCATTGTAATAATAATAAATGTGTAACTTCTCTCCTAGGGAAAGACAAGGAAAGGTCAGATGTTTTCCCTGAAAGGTTGGAAAGAAAGCTGAAGTAACCAAATTCAGCTCATACTAAATAAAATATATATCCCAACTTACCTCCCAGGAGT